CTTATCCACAAGGCTTGTTATCCTATCAAAGAAAGCTATCAGGTTGGTTTGACATGATTTATTCTTTACAAATCCATGCTGGCTGTTCCCTATCACCTTGCCACCTTCCAAGTATTTATAGATGATTTCCTTAATTACTTGCTCCATCATCTTTCCTGGCACAGAAGTTAAACTAACTGGTATGTAGTTTCCTGGGTTGTTCTTATTTCCCTTTTTATAAATGGGCACTATATTTGCCCTTTTCCTGTCTTCTGGAATCTTTCCTGTCTCCCATGATTTTCCAAAGATGATAGCTAGAGGCTCAGATACCTCCTCTATCAGCTCCTTGTGTATTCTAGGATGCATTCATCAGGCTCTGGTGACTTGCAGTCATCTAACTTTTCTAGGTGATTTTTAACTTGTTCTTTTTTTATTTTATCTTCTAAACTTACCCCCTTCCCACTAGCATTCACTATGTTAGTCATTCCTTCAGACTTCTCGGTGAAGACCGAAACAAAGAAGTCAATAAGCATCTCTGCTAGTTCCAAGTTTTCTGTTACTGTTTCTCCCTCCTCACTGACCAGTGGACCTACACTGTCCTTGGTCTTCCTCTTGCTTCTAATGTATTTATAAAAAGTCTTCTTGTTTCCCTTTATTCCCATAGCTAGTTTGAGCTCATTTTGTGCCTTTGCCTTTCTAATCTTGGCCCTGCATTCCTGAATTCCAAGGATGGAATTCACAACGGGGACTCAGATGCTCCAATACTTAGTCACCCAATGTCCATTCCAGACATGGCAAAACTGTCAAGGTATAAAAAATACCAAAACAAAACAAGCCAGAAGAAATATGTAGAGAACAATCACAGCAGCTCCAGTAACATCATCTTCTTAGTACTGTATATGCAACATGCCTTAGGCAACACATGACCAGGATTTATCACCGTATCAGCTATATGAATAGAACTGTTCTGAACAACTAGTTATACCATCCCTTTCTCTACAGTCCTTATGTGGCCCCAGGTATAATTATGTTATATAACATACATTTATTATCTACTTATTTAACCTTGCATGTTCTGTTTTATATGTTAAGGTGTCAGACAAGCCTCAAGTAGATGACTATGTACTTTATTATGCAATCAGTTTCTAAGCTGAATTCCAGCATTTGACTGATGGAACATACAGTGCTAAGCTAACACACTTTATAGTCTCAAAACATTTCAAATTATTTTCTTGCTTAACGATTTTCTGGTAACATGAACCAATTTATTAAAGATTTTTGTGTAATGCCTTTGAGTATCTGTTGGGCACTGTTGGATTTACCTTTATTTGCACAACTATTGAATGGATGTAACTTTCATCCAATTTTCTTTTCCCTGTGCTGCATGTTCATAAGCACAATGTAGCCTTTTTTAATCGCACACACAACTCAGTGTGTAAGAAAGAAGTTTCATTTATTATATAAAATGCAAAGAATTAATTCCCAAGTAGAAACCAAGAAGATCTGTATCTTATGTTACCTTTTTACAATTTGCTTTGTACATGAGAAAGAAATGAATTAATGCATTTTGACTCCCACTAACTCTGCTTCCAGAAAAAGTAGCATTTGAAAATTCTCCATCTCCTTCTTTTGTCTTCCTATTCTCTGATGTTCTGGATAATTTATGTCCATACCAGCCATCATTTTTATTAACGGCTAGTTTGCCATAATTATTCCTACATAGTTTTTTATTACTTTGTGAGTAGACCCACTGAAAAGTACTTTGCAATGTGAATAACAGACTGGCTAACTCTAAGCCCAAACAATGAGAATGTGCTGAACCCTGTATTGGTATGTCTACACTAGCCCCCTAGTTCAAACTAGGGAGGCTAATGTAGGCATTCGAAGTTGCAAAGGAAGCCCGGGATTTAAATATCCCGGGCTTTATTTGCATCTTCCCATCCGGGAGCCATTTTTAAATCCCCTTAGTCTGAACTAACTGCCCATGGCTACACGCAGCAGTCAAACGTTAACTCGAACTAAGTCCTTAGTTCAAGTTAACTGTTACATCTCATTCCACAAGGTGTAAAAATTAACTCGAACTAAGGACTAGAGTTAACATTTGACTGCCGCATGTAGCTGCGGGCAGTTAGTTCGGACAAAGGGGATTTAAAAATGGCTCCCGGATGGGAAGATGCAAATAAAGCCCGGGATATTTAAATCCTGGGCTTCATTTGCAACTTCGAATGCCTACATTAGCCTCCCTAGTTCAAACTAGGGGCTAGTGTAGACATACCCTATAAGACACGAAATAAGAAAAACCCTAGAGTACTTAGAATTTTGCCTGCTCCCAAGCACTCAGTAATTTAGGCAAAGAATTTGTGATGGATCACATTTACTTACTTGTCTTATTTCTAACCTTCTCCATTTCCCTAAGATTATGTATGTTTGTCACCTATTATGCCCAAAAGCAAGGGATGGCCATAAACCAACACCCATGAAATTTGGTGAAGTTCGTTTCTGAACCTGAATATAGTCTAAACTTCATAGATAGATCTATGTAATAGATTGAGCCAGATCCAACTTTCTTCAAACTTCTGGGAGTTTCAAATCCAAATGCAAATCTAACCACTCAGGTTCAACTGCCTCTAGAAGGAACCAAATTAGTGGCCTGCAATCACTATGGTTTGTTAATTCATTACACAATGGCTCTAAACATGATTGTGCTAAAAGCGACTCTTTACTATAGATCAAACCCATTGGCCCACACTAACACTTCTCTTATATTGATGATGCAATTGCAGACAAAGTTAATTTATAATAAATAATATTATGTAGAGATATTTTTGTAAGATTTTTTAAAGATATTTGTCTTCATTTAAAACACCTAATATATGTAAATAGTGTAATAAAACATTAAAATGTAATTAAAAATAACATTATAGCAGCTAATTTAAGAGAACTATACAAGATTTGTTTCCAATATGTTCCTAATTATATTTAGTATAGTTAATAAATATACATGAGTTGATATCTAGTAACAATCTACTTGTGCTGATACTTAAAAGTATAGCTATTCAAAGCAAACATTTACATTTACATTTTAAATATAAAAACTGCATATGAAATTTGAAGTTTGTGGACCTCTCTCATTCATAATGCTGTAAATCTGATGCCATTTACTACAACTTCATGATGGAGCCGATAACTGATGAGTTGCAAATGACTATGCCTCTTCTTATCATGATAATGTTATTCTATTCTGTTCATATTCTTACATCACCCTAACTACTATAACTAATGAACGTCTTCTAGAAGTGCAATTAACAGATGCAATTAGCATAAGCCACATGCCATTTTCTTTTAGTCCGTGCTGTGAGGGTTGTTCATTTTATTTTTAGATGTCTACAGTGCTATGGTGTTTTATTTTATGACGGAAGGAAGCTCAGGGAATGGCCTCATGAACACAGAATGGGTGAGATTTGAAGCTGTTTTTAGATTCTCCAAGGCTACATCTACACTGGCATGATTTTCCGGAAATGCTTTTAACGGAAAAGTTTTCTGTTAAAAGCATTTTTGGAAAAGAGCATCTAGATTGGTACGGACGCTTTTCCACAAAAGCACTTTTTGTGGAAAAGCGTCCGTGCCAATCTAGACGGGCTTTTTTGCACAAAACAGCACTGTGCTGTCTACACTGGCCCTCTTGCGCAAATGATTTGTGCAAGAGGGCTTTTGCCCGAACGGGAGTAGCACGGTATTTCTGCAAGAACACTG